TTTGATTTTGGATTTGCAAAAATTATCCAAAAGGCTTCTTCCATAGGTGAATTGGATTTTCTTGAGGCTTTTCACATTCACAAAGATTTAGCAGGTTTAGTTAATGATTTGAAGTCCAATCCAGTCCTTCCTAATGCCTTTAAAATTCTACTATCTTAATTCAGTTATTTATGCCGATAGATGGCGTTACCTCCTCGCGTTTGGTACTACCAGAGGGTATAAAAATCCGTTCAGTGGTTGTAGAATAAACAACAACTTTTTTAATAATATTATCAATGTGAATCCCGCTAATTTCATGGACATTCTTATCTACGAAATCCTGGCTGAAGACAAAAACCTCCGCCCACCTCTTGAGTTTAGAATTCTAAGTTCCAGTTTTCTGGTTTTCAAGCAGCATCAATCGGGGTCAGTTTCTGGGAGGGTGACCTCCCACGTGACTGGCTCCGACGAATGAACAGTTAGTATTCGGGCTATCCTACACAGGTTATCCGAAGTTTCTTTCTCCGGCCCCTGCTTGGCGGATTCCATCCAAGATGTAGCAGTCAGGAGCAAAGTGCTTCTTTTTCTCTCTCCAGCACACTTCTACCTCCACGAGAGAAAATTTCTTTTAGGTTTCTACTCTGTCAGGCCCCACATGGGATCACATCAGGACGGTTATTCTACGCTACGAGAGTCGACAGCAAGTTGTGGGCCACCAGATGTCGCTGCTAGTAAAAAACAGGTCTGTCCGACATCCTATATTCTCTGAGTACGGAAGTTGTCGAAAGCGCGCGAAAAAGTGTTGCCGCGTCGTCAATCAGGGTTGTGCAGTTGACGCATTAAGTAGACAATGGCTTTGTATGTGTTTTCGCTGCTGATTTTTTCATATTTAAACGAAGAATACGGTCATAGATCTCTGAATCGGTGGCGAATTTATAGAAAATATATTGATGCTTTTGCTCTGCCAAAAGATGTTTTCATTGCGTATTTCAGATTGCCAAAATTTATAGTTATTTTAATTTGCGATGAACTGAGAGAGTATTTGGAGCCACATTCAGAAAACAAGAACGCAATTTCTACTGAAAGAAAAGTTATACTATTCCAGAAATTATAGATATAAATTGTAATTGTATGCTTTAAAAATGTAGAAGATAATAAGTTTATCAAGCACATAAACTTTCTTTATTTAACACAAATATAGACATCCGATAAGCTTCTACTCGATTTATGTACAGCAAGAATTACGTTTACTTTAAAATCTAACAGTTGAATACCTTACCAATAATACTGTGAACACAAAAAGGAATGTCGTTCATTATTACGCGAAATTCACACTACTGTAAAATAAAAATTAAATATATATATATAACTATAAAATAGCTTTATAATATCTTTTTCAGTAGCTGTACTACTACTAATGTGATACTTTCAAAAATAAGTTTTAGCTCAGAGGGCTATTAATTTCGTTTTGCCATTTTGTGGCGTTTCACTTTTCAAATCGTTGCCACCAAGTATTATCGCACTCTATTATATTTAAAGAAATTAAATAATGAGGAATCTGCAGAATGTATGAATGTTTCTCGCACAGTGATAAAACAACGCTACCTAGAGCCATGAAATTCTGAATAACGTAATCCTCCATCCTAATATAGGCATCTGGAGGCTCAAATTTGGAACTGAGAATTTGTTTTATTATCTATTTCATATTTTGTAAAGCATTTATGAGTTTTTGATTCAGAAACCCAACGATTTCAAAGCGAGCAATGGCAACATTGTACAGAAAAAAACATTTTCATCTCTAGCGCGGGAGATTATGTATCGGAAATTCTAAAGATATGCTTTTTTTAAATTATATGATATTGCTGTTGAATTTAATTTTATGGTTTAAGTGCGGAAAACATGATATTTAATAAATAAAGATAACACGCAAAACGTTAAATAATGGCCCTTTGGAAGTAATATAAAATCTGAAGGCTTTCAGATTTATTTATTTATTTATTATTATTTTTTTTTTTTTTTCGTGTAATTTTATTACGTTTTAAAACTGGTTTCTAAGTGAGGACTTTCTAAGGGAAACTGGCTCGTATACAAGTTACACATGTGGAAAGCCACAAAAACGCCGGCTAGCTCGTTCCCGGGATTCAAACCTCGGACCAAACTACCTGCGTTCAGCGACTCTACCGCTCGGCAGCTGGTGGGCTTGTTAGTAGAATTATACTGCATTATTATTGTATTATGCTATAAAGTAACAATGCTATAAGACTGAGGGTTTATTCATGGAATAGTACTTTTGTAACCTATTATAGTATTAAAAAATCATTGTTTCTTTGCAAATTTAACAACAACAACAACAAAAAAAAAAAAAAATACTGTTCATAGCATTCTCATTTTTATATTGTAAAAGAGATATTGATTATTATTAGTTTTCTATTTAAAATGTGTCGAAACGCTGGTTTGACAAGGACTTCAACTGCAAGAGACCTACACTGATTATTTTTACTTTAGTACTTACACTGTGAAAATATTACTATATTTTAATTATTTTCACAGAATAAAATCTTTTGAGAAGGAAGAATATTTAAACTGAGCAGTTCTTATATATATAAAAAAATTCAAGTAACAGCAATGTAATATTAAAAAAAAAAGGTGTTAGTAATTGTGTGACAAAAATTGCAAAACGAATTAATCACACATACAGGATAGATTAGTTTAATTTTGGTTATATATTTTATATTGAAAAAATATTTTCTTTCATGTTAATTATAGAATAAATTATTTAAAATAAAGCATTTTGATGCGTGTGTGATAGTTGAATGCAGCAGCAATCGGCCATACTGTAATAGCGAATGAATTTTATTTCTTTTCCTGAAAGAAATAATTTTCATAGTAAATGAAAATAAAAAAAAGGGAAGAAATATTTTCTTTCTAATTTATTATGTAAAGAAATATTTTTCCAATAGTAACTGTAAAATAAATTGCGGGAAAACAGTTTTAATGTAAGCATGGAAAAAAAAAAAAAAGAAAAAAAAAACTTAGTTTGCTATTAGATTGTAATGCAAATTAATCATATTATAAATTTAAATGATTAAAATTGTTTATTTCTAAAAGGATTTGAAGTAAGCTTAATTCATTTACTTTTATCTATTTACCATTGCTTTCGTGGTATCCCATATCACTCTTTATTTCTTAGCTCTAAATTCCTGAGTTAAGTTTCCCCTTAAAAACGGAATTTTCCTTCACATAACACAGCAGCATATTCCGCTGCGTGTTGGTCATAATACTGTTTTGTGCAATTTTTTTCGAACTACAAATGCAGCGTGTGAGTTAGTGAAATAATGGGAGAATATTCCTAGAACTTCAGCCAGCGCGCGCTATAAATTTCGTCACTCGTCTGTACTGCGATTGGTCTAAAGCTCCTTGAAGCCTTGTCCCCTTTCAGTAAAGTTAAATGGACCCACCCGCCCACCAACTGAGGACCACAGAATGGCTTTCTCCGATAAGTTGTTGATAGCTGTCCATACCGGTTTCTTTGAGTCAATATTGTTCGCTTAAGTTGTAGACAGATCCAGTGATCATAGAATAGGCGTCCAGGAACTGGCAAGAGCAGGACTTTAATTTCCTGCTGAAAGCCAGTATAACCCCAAAGTTCCAAAGCTTTCCATTATTTCCTTTTTATTATTTGCACTATCCTACACAAGCCACATGCCAATGAGCCTATTAATCGTAAACTCTTTTTCTATCCGCTTTTTGCTTTAATGTTTGTATTGTGTATAAAAAAATTATAAAAACCAAAAAAAGTATAAAATATAAAATACAAAAAAATTATAAAAACCTAAAAACTTATAAAAAGATTATGATACTTAAGTTTTTATTATCTTATCTCTATCCCTAAGCTTTCTCGAGCCTGTGGCTCCCTCTATTGAGCATCAAGTAAATCACTTATGCCAAATTTTTTCCTATTTCTGCTCACTTTTAGTAATTCTGATGTGGAGGTAAATGGTTTTGAACCATAGGCACTCCGAAATTTGCAAATCATTGGCATTGGCTTTCCATTATTTGAAGTTCAGATTTTGAGCGTGAAGGTGCATTTGCCCCTCGCTCCCTATTTTAACTTCGCTCATTTTTCTTGTCCTTTATGCTTGATCAGATAGCCTGGCTCAGTAAAAGTAGGCGGCCAGTGCAACTCTGATTAAAAATCCAGTTATAACCACGTGCAGTGCTGATAAGGACCACGTGTTTCTGAGACTCCTTCTCCTTTATTTTCTTCTTTCTAGATATTTCTTTCTCCTGATGAGGAGGGACCTTTAGCTGCCCTCGAAATCGATTGAGTGTTTCATTATACCTACGCTAAATACAAGGTTGTTTTTACGATTTTGATTATATAAGGTATATTCTCCCTCCTTTTCTGCATGCCTTCGTGGTGTAATGGTAGCATACTCAGCACGTATTCAAGGGCTCCCGGCGAGGGCACTGCACGTTTTTCACGTCTTCTGCTTCAGAATAACCTAATGACTCTACAAAATACAAATTTTATATATCTCAGTGTAGGAGGAGAAAATCCCTGAAAAATTTTGAATGCGAACTCTGTGTTCCCATATTATAATGTGAATTGTACTAATTAAATTTCAGCTCTGAAATTGTTAGTTTTTAGTTTAAACATTTTGTTACGCCAAAAATCCTATTAGCATTCAAACAAAAATCCATTTAAAACTAATCTTAAAAGTATTTCAAGAAAACATTATTTAATAATTATAAGAAAACTGAGAATTGCTTAAAACTGCATAAGCAACGAAGCACAAACATGAGAAAAATGAATAGCGCTTTTACCATAGTTAAAAATTAGACTCAAAATTAATTATAGCTAGATTATAGCTTATAATTTTAGTACTACATTAGAGTTACAAGTCATGAATCAGGTATAATTCATGCACAAGTGCATTTACTGTTTAATTATCAGCAGTGTGTCATCATTTGGTAGGAAAACTTAGCTAAAAAATAAGTAAAGAGTATACATTCTTAAATCATTTTTTTTATTTATTTATTGAATAAAAATATTACCGCCCGCCACATCTATAAATTTAAAATAAATTTTACGTTTAATAAAAAAAAGTTTGTTATTTGTTCCTTGTATTTTTAATCTTCATGTTTCACTCCAATTTGCTGACGAATTTCATCCATGATTTCTGCTAATTTTATAGAATCCTCTAATGGCATAATTGAACTCTCCAAAACTCCTAAAAAGAAATGTATGTGAATATAATTAAATTTAAATAATACAGGGAACGGTATTTAATGTAAGAAAACATATTTGTGATACGTAGCAACAGGTGCCACTGAATAGAAGAAGATAAATCATTGTCTTGGAAAATAAGTTTCAGAAAATTAGCCGCATTTTTCAATATAGTGTTTTGGAGATGTCCTCTTTGGCGATCAAGGCATTGCTGCCATCTTCTAGGACACTTGCCACGATGTAACAGTCCTGCGAAATATACAAATTCTCCCAATGAGTTTATTTCACTTTTAAAGCTATTTATGTCAGCTTAGATGTGAATGAAACCTAGAGCTTTGAAATACTTTGATGGAAATAAGTCTAATAAAGAAAGCTTCAAAAAATTGAATAAGAACTACCGGGTATCATCAGAATGAAAGAGAAAGCACCCACGAAATGCTGCAGACTTCTTTTGATGGGGATATTTGGATGCTCAAGTTTTCTTTCACGTTCTACTTGACATTAGGACCACCAGCTGCCCAGTGGTAAAGTCGCTGAACACTGCTAGTTCGGTCTGGTGTTCGTATTCCGGCAAGGGCTGGCTGCATGGGCGTTTTAGTAATTTCCCTGAATTTAATATACATATAGGAGCTATTTTCCTTAGAAAGTCGTCCAGGAAGGCATCATTTCCTTTAGGCAGCCAACCTTCGAGTGCTTTGCCATAATTAAATAAAAACTCCAACCTATTTTACATTAGCAATTAAAAATGCAAATTTCCTTAGAAAGTCGTCCAGGAAGGCATCATTTCCTTTAGGCAGCCAACCTTCGAGTGCTTTGCCATAATTAAATAAAAACTCCAACCTATTTTACATTAGCAATTAAAAATGCAAATTAGTCATGAAATTTGAATGCTACCTAGGATAATAACATTACAGGAAGTTTATCTGGAAGATGACAGCAATGCCTTAATAATCAAAGAGGATATCTGCAATATGTTGCAGTGATTAGGTGTTTTGTGAATACAAGACACTAGCTTACCTAGCCATGTTCAGCTCTGTAATAGTATTACTTTTTCAATGACTAAAAGTATTATCCTGTTTAATTCCTAAAAACGAATAGGTATGGCTATTTTACTCTAATCTCTTACTTGAAACTAGGCCTTTCAAGGTTATCGCAACTCTCCTTTCACTTATGCTGGTAACGTGTGTCATCATCCGCACAGAGGGAATATGGGGATTTTGATGAATTAAAGGGTTCAACTTTTTCCCTCAGGAATCATTGCCATGCTTATGAGTCATGGTTTGCGGGGGGGGAGGAGAAATTGCCTTGGAGTGCCTGTTCTAAAATAACACAATAAAAATAAGTCCCCATTGATTTCTGACATGAAAATTAAAGTTTTCAAAATCAAAATTACTGAATACATAAGTATTTATGTACTGGTTTATAAAGAAAAGTCAGAAATGATCCTTTTGATTTACAGGAGTTGGACAAAAATATGGAAACGCCTTTAAAAAAACATGTTTATTTGCTTAATATGGTGTAGGAAACCCGTTGGCATCCAAAACAGCTTGCAGTCTTCTCGGAATGGATAAATACAGTTCCTGTATGTTTGCCAAGGGAATATTATACCATTCTTCCTGCAAAACGGTGGCAAGTTCAGATAACGATGTTGGCGGTGGATAACGAGAACGCACTTTCCGTTCCAATGTAGACCACAAAGGTTCGATAATATTCAGGTCTGGTGACTGTGGTGGCCAGGGGAGATGGGACAACTCATCCTCGTGCTCAGAAAACCAGTCCTGGACAATGTGAGCTGTGTGAACAGGGGCTTTGTCGTCTTGGAAGACACCATCACCATCGGGGGAACAAAGTTTGTACCATGGGATGAACTTGATCGGCCAAAATGTTCACATAAGTCTTGGCAGTCATGTGCCCTGACACAGTTATCATGGGGCTAGCAGAGAACGACGATATGGCTACCCAAACCATAACAGAACCCCCACCATGTTTCACTCTTGGCAACAAGCAGTCTGTATTATAGGCTTGGAATATCGTTCTCCAGACGTAAACTCGGCCAGAAGTGGGAAACAATGTGAAAGAAGACTCGTCAGACCATATTACTCGCTTCCACTGCTCTATAGTCCAGGCTTTATAACTTTTCCTGTTACGGGCATTAGCATCACTGATGAGTGGCTTCTCAATTGCAGCACGGCCAGCAATTCCCTGTTTATGAAGCTCCCTTCTAATTGTTTTGGTACTCACAGGGTTCGGTAACACAACATTCATTTCAGCAGTAACTTTTGCAGCTGTGGTCTTATTTTTCGTCACAATTGCCCTTAATGATCGTCTGTCACGATCACTCAGGATACACTTTCGTCCGCGCTGTGATTTAGCAGATGATGTTTTTCCGCTTTTCAAATATGCGGAATAAATCTTCGATACAGTACCTCTTGAAACACTAAACACCTCGGCTACCTTGCTTACGGAAGCACCTACCATACGTGCTCCAACAATTTGCCCACGTTCGAAGTCTGTTAACTCTGACATAATGCAATGACAACCTCACGTAACAGTACTCCGACAACAACTGAACTGTTTAGCACATTTACGAAGTTGTATAGGTGGCGTAGTCCAAAACGGTGGCAAACGGTCACCTACATATTTCATTAAAATCAATCTTTCTTTTCAAACATGCATTTCACAAGGTGTTTCCAAATTTTTGTCCACCCATTGTATCTAGTTGTTCACTCATAATATTTCTTTTTATATATTTAGTGATTCTATAGATCTCAAAATTTATACCTCATATAATAATGAAATAATGTAATGTCAATTTATGTCAATGCTGATAAGAGAAAAATTATTTTCCTTTTTTTACACAAAGCAAATAATAATGGTTTTATATGGATTAAAAAGATCGCATTACCTTTTTTTAGGCATTCTCTAACTTCAACAGCTTCATATCTGAGTCCTGAACTATGAATATAATTGCATGGAACTTTGGTGTCTGGTAATGGAAATTCATAAGTTTTTTCTGGTGTTTCAACAATTACGGGACACCACATGTTCTTTGGTAGCTAAAATATTTTGTATGTTAATTATACAGTATCAGCAAGCAGAACTTCAAAATTTCTGTTGTAATCAGACAAAAACTATAACAACATTTCATTCATTGTAAAAACGAGAGGGCAACTAAAAGTTAATTTTTGCAAAAAAAAAAAAAAAAAAAAAAAAAAAAAAAAAAAAAAAGTCAACTAAATAATAAAAATTATATACATTCAAGGTTATTAATTTTGCTGTGTGTTTTATTTTTTGAAAAATAAATTTGTCTATTGTTAAAGGAATTTAAAAATAAAAAAATGACTTCAGTATGAAGTACAAATAATGTGAATACAAACCAATTTCTCTTCTTTAAAAAAAGTCGTGATTAAAAAAAAAAAAAAAAAAAAAATCTGAAATGTTTCAGATTTTAAATTACGTCCAAAGGGGCGTTTTTTTAACATTTTGTGTGTTACCTTTTCTTTATTAAATATCATGTTCCTCGCACTTAAACCATAAGAATCCAGTGCAACAGCAATATCGAACAAAATAGTTTTAAAACGAGCATTATCCTTTAGAATTTCCGATACAGAGACATTTCACGCGCTGCTGGAGATAAAAATGTTTTTTCCCCTACCGTAGAGTACGTTGCCATTGCTTCGCTTTGAAATACTTGAGTTTGTTAATCAAAAATTCGTCAAAGTTTTAAAAAATAGGAAATCGATCAATAAAACAAATTTCCAAATTTGAAATTTGGTCTTCCACATGCTCCATATTCGTTGGAGGATTACGTTATTCAAAATTCGATGGACTCTATGTACCGTTGTTTTATCACAATACGAGAAATATACATACATTTATGCAGATTTTTCATTATTTAATTTCTTCAAATATAATGCAGGACTCTAACATTTTGTGGCAACAGTTTGAAAAGTGAACCGACATTTATGAGTCCGACGCAAAATGCCAAAACGAAACTAATAGTCCTTCGGGATTCAAATCCCTTTGGACTAAAAATCGGGAAGGATTTTGGTGGCGGAACTTGAGATATTTGGACTAACTGGAACTAGAAATACAGGGTGGCCCAGAAGTCACTTTACATTTTGAAAATTAAATAACTTTTTTTCTATTAATATATTTCTTTTTCTCTTTTCAGAATTAAAAAATATAATCCCTGGAAATTTTTGGCATGGATAAGTTTACAACAGAACAACGAGTGAAGATAATTGAATTTTTACTTTGAAAATGGACGGTCAATTGTTGCAACGCAAAGATCGTGCCATTTTAATGTTCGACATCCCCCTAGTAGGCCTGCAATAAGGAACTTAGTGACGCGTTTTCAAGGTTCAATTAGTGCAATCTTTAAAACCAGCAGACTTTCAGAAACGAGTAAATTATGCTGTCAGGTTTCAGAGAACTGCAAGAAATGACAATGAGTTTATTCACAAGTTGATCATGGGAGATGAAGCTCATTTCCATTTGAATGGACATGTGAATAAGCAAAAAATAAAAAAGAATTAATTAAATACAGTCATTTAAGAAAAAGTTATTTAATTTTCAAAATGTAAAGTGACTTCTGGGCCACCCGTTACATCTGGATTAGACATCTTCATAACTGTGGCTTCAGCAAAGTGCCAGCACGTTTTTCAAGTAAGCCGCTGTCCAGGGCGTCTAATCTTCGTAAAGATGATTTTGCATAAAAGCTTATACACGTTAATGCATATTAATTTCCTCTCTGGGAGAAAGTACCAACCTTTATAAAGGTGCGCGCATTTTATGCCAGGACACCGCTTTGCAAGTCGAATTTCCATTTCCTTTTTAATACGAATAGCAAATTAAAACCCTACTTGCAATGCATTTTTATGTAGGGACACAGTTATAAAAGCTTTTGCCATTCCCGTACAGTGGCCGATTTATAAAGTTATTCGCATCTTTCCTTTACAACGGGCACCGTTTAAAGCCGTCTCGTTAGAATATGCGAAAATCTAAGTAATTGTATTATTTAAAATAAAGTTTCTTATACTGGGGGGGGGGGGGGTCGCGGGACCTGCAACAGGGAATCGCCAAAAATTTTAGCAGTTTTTATATTTCTTTAACTTATTAGAATAATTTTACAATCACCAAATATTTTTACACAATGTATCTGAAAGTAGATAAAGATAAGACAGTACAGAAAAAGAAAAAACGAAAACGTTTCGACGCATTCCCTTTTTAAATACAAAGTCCGTTTTACTTGCTTTCCACGTGACGCTGTCATTTCGTCTGTTACTTATTTAAAATTTTCACATTGTTCTATGTCTTAAATATAAAAATTAATGACCTAATACTGCAATAGTATATTACAGTACAAGTGAAAAAATTGACAGTTTCACTCACGCGTGTGTCGAATTTGCGTAATCCTTATGGGGTCCCACAAAATTTTCGTAAATGTTATTGGGGTCCTGGCGTCGCGAAAAAAATCTCAATGATAAAAAGGGGTCGCGACTGAAAAAAGTTTAAGAAGCCCTGATTTAAAGTAATGTTAAGGGATAGAATTTTGTTTACTCTTTAACCGTATTTGATTTTACAATATGCAGTTAGCAAAATAAAACACAGTTGAATTCTTTTAATACAAACACCAAGAAATTAATTATTCTTAGCTTCTGTAATTTTTAGAATGCTAAACTTCAACATATATCAGCTAATTGATATATATAAATTAACTAGGTTAAACTTCATTCTCTGATCCATCGCCAGCGGGAATTCTTCAAAACTGCACAGAAACCAAGTCGTAGTGTCACCCATAAGATGCCCAAATTCTTTGGCCCAAGGCCGATACCAATGACAGATCCGGTCCTCGCCACGATAAAACTCGTAGACTTGTTCTGATACCGTCAGACAAGTGAGACAAGTCGCAACAGAATTTTAGCAAAATATAGTATATTTCCCATGAATTCCAGTGGCGATACTTAATTGAATCTTGCTTTAGTAGAGAACGGAAAGTTCGTTTTCAATAACGTTCAAATGTCTCCAGTTACCGTCAAAGACAGTTGAGTATTCCAATTGAACATTAATTACAATTTCATTATTATCTAAGTTAAATTTTCCTAATAAGTGAAATAAAAGCACATGAACATAGAATACTAACAGCCATTTGCATATATATTTTTTTAACCTTTTGCATCTTCTAAAATCTCATGACAGTAGCAAATATATCATTAGCTTGAACGAAAGTTAATAAGCATTACTTAGTTCGAGCGGTTGTTCACTTTCGCTGTTCCTCGGATAACTTGTCAATTTTCTCACTTTCCGTCAAAAGTTAAATTGTTTCCATGTCATTATCACCGTTCACGAAATGATCTAAATGAAGGCTGTCTTGATAGCAGTTAAAGTCTTTGTTTCGTAATCATTCTGATAATGATTATGAAAGATTTTCTATGTTGTCCACAACAGAAATTATGGTATTTTCATTCATACAGAAATTAGGAAAACAGCTCCAGATGATTAAGTTTCACACTTTTCCATGCATCATCTAAAAAATAAAGAGCATCAAATGGATTTAGTTCTAGCTGTAATTTTTTTCAATCAACATAAAGTTAAAAACATTAAATGATGAAGCATTTGTAACTTCTAACGGCACCTTGAGCCATATACTTTGCCAAACCCAAGTAGCTTTTAGAGCAGGCCTGGCCAACCAATATTGTTCCACGAGCCACTTTGATGTTCAGGAATTTTACATTATGTAAACATGCTTTTAAAAAATATAATACTAAACGAATAAAACTATTGTTATATACTATATTCAGATATAATGAATTTTTAAAGCTTGTTGAGTATTTGTTTATCCTTTGCTGGAATGCCAAAGAATATGCGTTGAACTGACTAATCTTATCTCGTAAAGTTACTATGATTTTAACTAAAAATGTCACCAATGCGAAGACATGTAGTTTGGTTTGAAGTACTGATTCTTGAAAATAATATGCTTTTATCGGGAAAGACATCTTTTATAACTGCTTCCAAACAGTCCTTTTACCAGTTCACCATCCGAAAATAGTTTCATTTTCTTTGCAATCAACATGGCAATACAATAATTTGCTTTGACAATGCTAGATGGTTGTTGTAATAATGAATCAAATATCGTTTGCTGAGGTTTCAAATATTTAAAACACAATTAATTTAAAACTTTTTTCTTCTTCACTGAGATTTACATACTTAAAATGTTTTGTCTCATGATGCCGTTTAACGTTATGTTGCTTAAATACAGCGACCGTCTCTCTTAAAATTAAAGACATTAATTTTATATTCTTCATTGTGAAAAAATAATCTTTTCCACAACGATCATTTAATCTTTTGTTTTCATCGACAACTTTTCTTTCCTTAGAATTCATCTTTTCCGTTTTTGTTCAGTTACTGTTCAAGCCCCAGTAAAAATACCAATATTTAATAACTTTTTTAAAGTTCACTTGACACTTGAAAATTTATAATAGCTTTAACCAATTTAACGTTATATTAAATTCTTATTAATTTTTTAATTTACTTGCATTAGTAAAAATATAGTCACTTCAATAAATTTCAAACTTTCTTCGGATGTCTTCAGATGTCACTTTTATTTAACTTCAGATGTCACTTTTATTTATGTCTTCAGATGTCTCTTTTATTTAACCAGTCACGTAAAAATCTTAACAAACGAGAACTTCGACACCAGCTCGACAACTATTTCGCACATACGCAAAAAAAGTATTAAGGCTGGATCTACTTCGACACTAGTTCGACCGCTATTCAGCGCATGCGCAAAAAGGGTATTAAGGCTGGATGAATAGCCCTTTGTAAAATAAACTTAGAGTATATTTTTCCTTCTCGGTCTGACAGAGCCACTCTTGTTTTGGCAAAGGTTTCGTTCTTAGAGGTTATCCCATCTAGCGACGTTTCTGGACGTCCACAGGACGTTTCTGAGAAATGAGATTCTGGTAACACTGGATTAAACGGGAGGATTCCTTGAAGAAAAAGCACCTCTGGAAGCGAAGCTCCGCCTAGCTACGGAAGCGATGTACCGGCTACG